CGCGGGCAGCGGGAGAATCCGGGCGCGCCCCGCTGTCCCACGGCTGGCGTGCGCCGAGGCTTTGCTCCCTGTCTCCCTGGTCTGCAGGGAGACGGGGAGCAAAGCCTTGGAGCACGCCCGCAGCAGGACAGCCCGGGCGCACTTGAGCTGTCCCCCTGCGGGCGTGCTCCGCAGCTTTGTTCCCCGTCTCCCTGGTCTGACTAGCAGACCAGGGAGATGGGGAGCAAAGCCTCGGAGCACGCCCGCAGTGGGACAGCCGCGGCGCGCCTGGACTGTCCCGCTGCCCGCGTGCTCTGCAGCTTTGCTCTGCGTCTCCCAGGTCAGCAGACCAGGGAGACGGAGCAAAGCCGTAGAGGACTTGGGCGGTCCCGCCACCCCCGTCTCCCTGGTCTGCTGTGGGGGAGGTGCAGCTAGTGCCCCTCACCCCCAGCAGACCAGGCTTTTCTTGCCTACCCCTGGGGTAGAGCAGCTGGGGGCTGCCGGGTTGGAGACAGGGTGGCATTAAAAAGGAAAGCGTCCTCATAAGTGTGGTGTTGGTTGGTACAGAAGATAGCTTTCTGTAGAAATATAATGATTTAAAAGTGCTGATGTTAAGACTGTCTTTAAGAGACTATAATGTTATTGGTATATGAAAACCTATGCTGACATTGATGCATGTTGTAATCAGTTTTTTGTGATTTCTCTGCATACATAGGCATTTCAGTAGGACTATGGAGGAACTAGTTCATGATCTGGTCTCAGCACTGGAAGAAAGTTCAGAGCAAGCCAGGGGAGGTTTTGCTGATACCGGAGATCATTCTCGTAGCGTGTCTTGTCTTCTAAAACGCCAGGCAAGAAAAAGGAGAGGACGTAAAAGACGTTCATTTACCACCCATCATCCTTGGGAGACTAGCCACTGTTTAAGTGAAGGTTCTGATTCCAGCCTAGAAGAACCAAGCAAGGATTACAGAGAAACTACTACTAAGAAAGACCACAGTGACTCTGATGATCAGTTGTTGGTTGCTAAACGCAGGCCTTCTTCAAATTTAAATAACATTAGAGGCAAAAGGCCTTTGTGGCATGAGAATGATTTGGCTGTTGATAATTTAGGAAACAGAACCCTGCGTAGGAGAAGAAAGGTGAAACGCATGGCAGTAGACCCACCATCAGAAGTCACAAATACATTAGCTTTGACCCAACAACAGGAAAACAGCAGAGATCAAGAAATGGATAATGATAACAGATCTTACCAACATCAAGAATTTGCCAAGAGTAAAGTGAAAAAAAGAAAACTAGCTACAACTAGACAAGGACCAGAAATTTTGGATGAAGGAGTGGTTATAGAAGGTGAAGAAGCAAACCAGGTTAATAAGGACAAAATGGAGTATGAGGAACAGAAGGGTTCAGATGAGAATATGAGTGACAGGTGAATTTTTTTTTCTATCAACTGAAAATAAATTGTTATAGTTCCTGTAATTGTATAGGTATTCACAAGTCTTGTAATCTCTTATTTCAAAATTAAAATGCAACCAATAGCTGTATATTTAAGCAGGTAATATTAGGGGTTTTTCCTGATCTAGTAATAATAGAGCACTGCTATTTCAGACATGTAGTATAAAATAAAATGATTGCAATTTAGAGGCAATCTGATGAGTGGCAGAAATGCCGCATAGAAAATAATGACTTGAAAAAAATATATACTAATTGTTTCAGTACTAAGATTTTAAAAAATAGGAATTAAAAAAATTAATTAAATGTTAAGTTATTGTATTTAAGCATGGTATTTTAACTAGTAAGTCGTCACAAGATAATTACATAACTTCTTTTAGGCTCTGATGCTTTGATTATTATTGGTAGTCATCAGAATATTATCAGGACTATATCGGGATACATGAGTTGGACAGTCTGTGTGTCATACATTCTTGGCAACCTACAGACTTTTTATGCACATCACTTACAAAATGCAAAAACCAGTTTATGGTTCAACATCTGTGCTTGCCATTAGAAAAAATGGGAGAATGATGATCTTTTGGCAGTATACTTCATCAGTCTATGCCAGACAACAGGCATACCACAATGGTAATTGTTTCCAAAGTACTATTTTGATGGCACAGAAAGGTGTAAGTCATTGGTCCACCGCACATAAGTGTTTTTACCTGCAGAGTCTGATGATCCTGATTATGTTTATCCAGCATATTTTATTTGAACGCAGAACTGTGAACAGGACAATGCCTATTTAAGATCTAAATAGTTGCAATCTAATGGCTAGCCAGCAACAGAGTTTGTCATTTGTCGTTAGGAGTGTTATCTATAAGCTGCTTTGAAATCTTTTGCTTGTTGGCCATAGAAATGGGAAGGTATGTCTACACTTGATTGCTCTCTTGAAGGAGGAATGCAAATGTAGACATCCAAAATTGCAAATGAAGTGGGGATTTAAATATCCCATGCTTTATTTGCATAATCGCGGACTGCTACTTTTCCGCAATAGCTCTATTTCGGGACATCAAACTTGGTCCCCGCGGGGTTATTTCGAGAGAGACCCCTTCCCTCAAAATAACCCTTAAACCTCATTTTTTGAGGAGTAAGGGTTATTTCGAGGGAAGGGTTTTCTCTCAAAATAATCCTGCGGGGACCGAGTTTGATGTCCCGAAATAGTGCTATTACGGAAAAGTGACAGTCAGCGATTATGCAAATGAAGCACGGGATATTTAAATCCCCGCTTCATTTGCAATTTCGGATGTCTACATTTGCATTCCTCCCTTGACAGAGGGAATCAACTGTAGACATACCCGGAATGTTACTGTGGTGTGGAGATGGCATGCATAGGTTCTTGACTAGGGCAAGAAGAGAAGTCACTTATTCATTAGCATAACAGTATGATAAGTGACTGATTCCAATTACTCAGTAAACAGTAAGGAGTTTTTTATAGTGTTTATAGAAATTCCTTTTTATAGTCTTTCCATCTCTGAAAACAGTAGAGTCTTTGAATCACAACAGGAATCCTGAGTCACTTTGACATTGAAAATAAACTGAATTTTGTAGTATCTTCACTAAGGATGTTAAGAAGCGGGTAATTGACTAATCGTGTAGTCAATACAATTTGTATTGACTACACAATTTGTATTGATTACACGATTAATTGATAAAGGAAGGCATTCGATTTACATGTCTTAACTAGACCACTAAATAGGGATGTGAACAACTAGTTGACTATCCAAAAAGCAAATGCTTATTGGATAGTCGATATGCTAGTCGACTAGTCCTCCCCCATTTCCCCACATCTCCTGCTGCCTCTATCAGAAAGACCCCAGGTTCCACACGGTGCTGCCACTTTGAAATGCCGCCTGCAGCCTGGGGCCAGGCATCGTTTCAAAGCAGCAGCACCATGTGCAGTCCAGAGTCAGCTGAGGACTCCCCCGCCAACTCTGGGCGCCGTGCGGCACTGCCGCTTTGAAACACTGTAGGGAGCACGGGGCCAGCGGGGCATTGCTTGAGTCTCCCACTGGCCCTGTGTTCCCTGCAGTGCTTTTGCCTTTGAAGTGTAGCCACAGTTCTTATCAACTAATCGAATAGTTGATGCAAATTACATAGACTATTTGAATAGATAATTAATCAAAATTTTACATCCCTGCCACTAAATTGAATGCCAGAAGAGCAATCTCTGGCATGATGAGTGAAGATGTGCCTTAAAAGTATTTCCTTAATGCGCTTTACTGTACTTTAAAGAAGGAGGATCACAGCTTCCTATGGATGGAACTTTTAATATGTGGTAGTAGTATCCATGTGAACACTTAATGGGCTGCAGGATAGTGCGGGATAGACTTAGACCCTAGGTTGCCATGAGCTCAATAAGGGTACTTTTACACAGCAGTGTTATTTCGGAATAACTGACGTTATTTTGAAATAACATATTCCGCGTCTACATTAAAAGCAGTTATTTTGACATGTTGAAATAATGTCGAGCTGGAGGACTTCTTATTCCAACTCCTGTAACCCTCATTTTACAAGTAGTAAGTGAAGTCAGAGGAAGAGTGCTCTTCCTCAGACTTCCTGCTCTGTAGACCGCTCCAAAAGCCGAAATAAGCTATTTTGACTTAATCTACGTAATTGACGTAGCCTATTTCTGCTTTAGCCCTGCTGTGTAGACGTGCCCTAAGTGTTTGTACATACAAGTCCTTATAAAACGGGAACACGTGTGTGTGTGTGTGTGTGTGTGTGTTGGGGAAGAAGGGTAGATTTAAAGATATGTGATGTGAAGTTTTAGGACATTTAAAATTGTAGAAAAATATAGAACTATCTGACAAAATTGAAGTAGGCAGGGCAAACTTTGCAAAAAGAAGGCACTAGCATTTGCTTAGCTTTATGGTATTTGAAAATTCAAGCTCTGCTTGATCACTTTGGTAGCTCGTAAGATTTACCATTTTTGTATTTAGGATAACTTTAAGTGCTTAAGACTCTTCTTGTACTGCATTGAGATAAAATACATGTGTAAGTGCTGCTTATATAGTAAAACATTACTATATGCCAGGGCTACTCAACTTTGGAAGCCCTGAGGGCCACAATGATACTCACAGCACATGCTGAGGGCCACAGTTTAAGTTTTGTTGCATATAAGTGCAAATACATATGAAAATCGCTTCTTTCACGCTAACAGGCATGAATACAAAGCACTTCCTACAATTCCTGTGCACTCCTAGCACCTCCTCCCTGGGAGCTAGAAACGCCAACACCCTGTACCTATCTGTTCCAGCTACCCCCTCCGCTTGCATCTTTCACTGCTCACCCCGCCTGGGAGACACCTCGCCATTATGGAGTGTGTTCCCAGTGGAGGCCATGTTAAAAGGATCCTACCTGTGGACCATGAATGGGCCATGCATCCTTGAGCTGCATGTTGAGTAGCCCTGCTGTATATCATAGAAGATACAGCAATTCTAGAGCACTTTTTTTATATAACTGTGTTCTAAGAAATACGGCAGCTGCACATATTAGTATGTCACTGCTGCTTGGCTATCTACATCAGGCCCAATTTCAAGCCCTGTTTGAGCTATTTCAGAAGGAAGATATAAAAACAATCATGCAGTTAGTTCTAGAAGCTAAAATGAGATACGGCCCCAAACTTAACTAATTCTGGTTTCAATTTCTGACACACAAATTGTGCAAAAAACCTATAAATAACATCTTTTTTTTCTTTTTTAAACCAAGCAGATTCACCAAAAAGCAGTTAATACAGAGATAGGAGTAAGGTTTAGAGCTACCTTTTAAGAATAGGTGTGGGGAATGAAATAAAAAATGAAATATTTTTAAATATTCTTTTGTCAAGATTGAAGAGATTTTGCTTCATGTAGAAGGCAAGCTATATAATATAGGAAAAATACTTGAGGCGTTTAATTTTCCTTAATGTAACATTTGTAAATCTTACTACATTAAAAATTAGTTTGAAATGCACACTTTTTTTTCTTGAATTCATGTCTTTACATGAACTGACACTTTTAAAAAATAATCCATATGTCATAATAAGAAAAAATATAAGATACATAATATTGTGGAATACTGAAGAACATAAAAGCATTTCTTCACTTAACTCCTCTCTCCTAACCTGCTGGATGTAAACCCAGTGTCATGGCCTATGCTATAGTTTAAGCACAGCAGGTTGGTTTAATATTTACATACACAGTTTTAATTTACAATAACATGAGATGCAACCAGGCAAGAAGAAAACCCTTCTGCCCTCATCTATGGTTTCTAGTGTTATATGTAGAAGTACATGTGTATGTGCTGTGCATCCATCCTTTAGACCCATGGTATCCAACCAGTTCTGAAGCAGAAGCCACTATAGTGGCTACCTCTGAAGTGAACTAGCCACACTCAGCTGGCCAAACAGCAACATTGTTCAAGCCAGCTAGCCACATTCAACCGGCCAAATAGCCACATGTGGCTAGTGGCTAGCATGTTGGACACCACAGCTTTAGACAGACAAAAAGTAAATTATAATATGCATTTTATTGTGTTGATTAGGTTCATTTTTTCACATGGTAACCTTTACTTTGATTTAATGGATTGTTGAAAGGCCACGCTGGGTCTGACCAAATGTCTGTCTTGCCCAATATCCTGTCTTCTGACAGTGACCAATGCCAGGTGCCCCAGAGGAACAGAACAGATAATCATCACGTGATGTATCTTCTGTCGCCCATTCCCAGCCCAGACAAATAGAGGCTAGGGACACCTCTCTGCCCATCCTTGTTAATGGCTACTGATTGACCTAAATTGTCATTATTGCAAACTTTTATTTCTTAAACTTCAGGGGGTAGCCGACTTAGTCTGTACAGAAAAAACAACAGATGGTCTGGTAGCACTTGATAGACTAACAAAACATGTAAATATCAAGTGCTACCAGACCATTTGTTGTTGTTTTTATTTCTTACTAAGTAATATAGTTTTAGTGAATAATTAAGCAATATATTGTACAGAATATTTGCAGATGCTAAAAAGAAAGTACTTCCTTTTCCAGATGTTTATATTTCGTGGCTGTCTACACACTGGCACCTTTTTCCGGAAATGTTTAAAACGGAACAGTTTTCCGTTATAAGTATTTCCAGAAAAAGAGCGTCTACATTGGCAGGATGCTTTTCCGGAAAAGCCCTTTTTCCGGAAAAGCGTCTGTGGCCAATGTAGATGCGCTTTTCCAGCCAGACATAACTGAAGCAAAAAGCTGACACAATAGATGCATTTTATCCCCTGCTTCCATCAAATGCTCCCTGTTCCTTTCTCATGCGATCCAATTTAACTTGATCCCAGAACACCACTTCTCAATAAAATGGGGGAAAAAAAATCTCAAAGCAAAAGCAGTCTAAGCCTTTCTTCCAACACACGAGCTGTGTCTACACTGGGCCACTTATTCCGGAAAAGCAGCTGCTTTTCCGGAATAAGTGGCCCAGTGTAGACACAGCTCGTGTGTTGGAAGAAAGGCTTAGACTGCTTTTGCTTTGAGATTTTTTTTCCCCCATTTTATTGAGAAGTGGTGTTCTGGGATCAAGTTAAATTGGATCGCATGAGAAAGGAACAGGGAGCATTTGATGGAAGCAGGGGATAAAATGCATCTATTGTGTCAGCTTTTTGCTTCAGTTATGTCTGGCTCGCTGTTAGATTCCTGTAATTTTATGTGTGTCCATTAATTCTTTTATGTAGGGACTGTAATTTTATGTGACAAATGATATGTTCCATAGTTAATGGAACTAGGATATTTGCAGTTTGATTAAAAACAGTCTTATTTTCTTTCAGGTATTTGTCAGGCTTAAGTTACATCTGGTAAAATTTTAGAGAGGAGGCTGTTCTCACTGAGGCATTAATTGTTCTTTTTATCAGTTTCTTTCTCTTCTTTATTACAGTGAATCCAGCAGCCTGAGCAGCAGTGATGCTGGTTTGTTTACCAATGATGAGGGAAGACAAGGTACTGAAACATCACTAATTTTTTTTCCAAACTGCATCAGTTTAAATTCTGTAATCATTACAAGTTATTTCATAGGTTGATGAAATTGCTTTAACAGATTGCCTGGCAAGTCTTTTCTTTCAGCTTCTTTAAATGTTCTACAAAGGTGTCTTGTCTCAGTAACCTGAAGTAATTAAATTACTTGATTATCTGAAAATCCTAGTATGTAAAGCTTATAATATTAGGGAAGATTGTGTTTTTGAGAGTGGTATTGAGTACATATTGTGTACCTCTATGTGAGAAGTTAGTAGCACTTCCCACTAGTAGCACGTCCCACATTTATCTATAATGTCTTTTTTTAAAAATGGCTGGATTTATAGATGATTTCCCTCAGTGATAATGGTTTTCTGAACAAAGACAAAATGTCTCTTATTCATCCAAAATAAGACTGAATAGCCCCCAATATTATTTAGGGGGTTTTCTCATCACTGAGGGGTTTTTAAATATCTGAAACATCTCACATTTCCTTTGGATAGTGTGAACTCAGTAAAAATCCCTATTGGTATACTGTATATCAGAAAACAAATTATTATTATTTATGAATCAAACGTTCTGGTGATGAAGTATATTAAACCATCTTTTCAAGTAATGTATAAACTATTGTTTTAAATTTAGTATAGCTTAATCACTCTTTTTAGTTATTTCTTTTTTAAATTATCAGATTTATTTAAAGAGTAGATTATTTTCCTCAGGAGTAAAGGGGGGGGCATCAGGTAGAACAACAAAATATTACAGATTTTGACCATATTAGTTTGATTATAGGGAAAGCTATCCATATACTGTTTCCCAAAAGTTCTCAATAATTGATTTTTCATCAGTTCATGTCAGTTGCTCCATCCTTCCATGCCAATTTTACTAAAATTGGGATTTCTTGAAATCCAAATTCCACTCACCTTGTTTGTATGAGTAGGGCAAGCAGTATTTGGACCATAATCGTATATTTTTACTTCATTTAATACAGGATTCTTTGAAGATTTTAGGGTACCCTTGAAATAACAGTAGACTCAGTTTTTCAGATTTCAGAGCAGAAGGTGGTGTTTTGTTTTGGTTTTGGTTTTTGAGAGACATTCCAGAAGATGGAATGTTTCACTGTGTCATGGCATTCCCATCAGTGTTTTGTGATTTTTTTTTTTCTATTCTGTTTTGTGAGACGTAATGTGCAAGATTATCTAATGATCGTTTCCATCATTGTTTTCTTCTTGAGGAGGACATGAACTTTTTCACAATAGTTTATTTTAGAGCCTTCAAATTTTCTGTGGTAATTGCCAGTTTAATTTCCATTCAAAAGCTATTTCTCTGTGAAGTTATAATTCATTCCTATTTGTTTCTTGACCAAGAAGATCTGTTTATCTTGTAATTTTCTTTTAAAATGAGTAGGTAGGTGTCTAGTGTTAATCATATTATTATGGTTTTGTGAAAGTTTTAACTAACATTTAAAGAATTGGTTTTCTAACTTTTTTTTTGGTGCAATTGTTTGATTTGTTTTTTAAAGCACTTGTATTTCCCTATATATAATAATCTGGGACATGAGTGGATATTACTTCTGAAATATCCATTATTTGTACTTCGTGTAATTTCAGTGTTGAAAACAGATGACAACAATCAGTTCATATAATTATTTTCTTCAGGAGGGAGAAGTTATTAGTCAATAAGTAGCTACATTTTCAGTGGTATCCCTTTTTTCAGTCCATAGCCATTCAGTTTTATCATCTTTGATCCTTTCAACAATGGCTTTGAGTTACAGAGGATTATATTTATAAATATTAAGTTGGCAAGTTTGACCTATAATTTGAACTGTATTTTTTTTCTTCCTATTTTGTATTGGATCTTGATGAGAGGAGGTGTGGGGGGTGGGGGTGGGGGTTTAAGGGCTTCTAGGGGAATGTTTTTTGGTTAAAGATAGTGAGATTATTTTTTCTACACAGAGAAACAATGTCACAACAGATTATCATCAATTTTAATCTCTTAATTTTTGGACTATTTACTTCACAGGCTTTATCCTATTGAAGTCAATGGAGGCCTTCTCATTTACTTCAGTGGGCTTTGAATCAGGTTAACTGTCTTTTAGATCTAGAGAATGATCTTGTTTCAATTAAAACTCTTAATGGGAAGCAATATCTGGTGATACGTGTCTTTCAGTTTCTGTTAAATTTGCTTTATTATCAATATTTCTGTCACTTAGCATTACAGCTACTGTATTTTTTTCACTTACTTTCTTACTAAAATTGATTTAAAATTAAACAATAAAATGTCACTTGCATAAAGTGGAGCTATGAAGAATATTCCCTTGTCTGTATTGTCATAACACATAGGAACCCTAACCACAAACCTTTTTATACTAAAAGCTTGTTGTGTAAATATAAAACAAGATACAAATGGGTACAGCTTGATGGGAGTATACAAGTAAGCAATGAGGCAATATTGGTCAGTGTAATAGACTGGTTTCAGCACACCAGTACTCTGTTACGATTTTTACAGGCATTACAAAATGATAGTTTCTTAAGGAGGGATGTGAAAGAAGCTAATGGAGTCGTTTTGCATATGTTCACAGACATCTGTTCCCAGTATGAAAGGCAGCATGAGATAATGTACAAAGCTGCTTGTTTGAAAACTTAAGAATTTGGCAATGAAGTCATCATGGATTGATCAAAAGAGGACAGTGAATAAGATGTTAGGGTAGGGATTTCCATCTAGTAGGATATGGCTGCCAGAGTGTCTACTGAAGCAGACAAGAGTGCGAGCTGTGATATGACCTTCTTCATAAAAGAATTCCCAGTTGCAACCATTAACCCAAACTTATGCTTTGAAGTGCAGAACAACCTCAAAGCACAATTGCTATTAGAAAATCTACTTTAGAAAAGAATGAAATAAAAATTATTTTTACTTTTAAATGGCTAACAGGATAGTGATAAAAGTTTTTGTTTTGGTGACATTCAGTAGTCTAATCGTGTCCAAACCCCGTTTTTTTAAGATGACGTTGAGCTGGTCAGCACTAATTATACTTGCATACCAACTCTTTCTTAACACCTCCCTCCAACCGTTCCTTCTTCCTCCTACATTAGAAGAACATAAAAGTTACAAATCAAGCGCTAAGAAGCTAGGAAATGCCAGAATAAGGATTGCCTGTGCAAACTTAATTCAGTCCACCATGTGGACTTATGTCGGATCCGCAGTTACGAACGGGGCTTTTCTCGCCCCGGAGGACAGGAGTGGCAGGATTCCCAGATGCGCCGCGGTCCGCCGCCCCGTCCTTCGGGGCGAGAAAAGCTGCTCCCTGTCTCCCTGGTCTGCAGGTAGAGACGGGGAGCAAAGCTGCGGAGCACGCCCGCAGGGGGACAGCTGTGGAGCAGCTGGGATGTCCCGCTGCGGGCGTGCTCCAAGGCTTTGCTCCACGTCTCCCAGGTCAGCAGACCAGGGAGACGGAGCAAAGCCATGGAGGACTTGGGCAGTCCCGCCACCCCCCATCTCCCTAGTCTGCTGAGGGGGAGGG